TGTTACCATGGCAACGATGGGGGGGCAAGGGCCATGTGTCACCTTAGGGTGGTGGCCAGGCCCTGTCCCCCCGCCCCGCGCTGAGGCCCTGTCCCTGTCCCCGCAGCATCGTGCACCTGTGCCTGCGCAAGGCCGACCAGAAGCTGGTGATCCTGAAGCAGATCCCGGTGGAGCAGATGAGCAAGGATGAGCGGCTGGCAGCGCAGAACGAGTGCCAAGTCCTCAAGCTCCTCAGCCACCCGAATGTCATCGAGTACTACGAGAACTTCCTGGAGGACAAGGCACTCATGATCGCCATGGAGTATGCCCCAGGTGGGCCCTGATCTCCCCCAGCACCTGCAGCTGGTTCCTTGCCAAGTCCAGGGGATGCCAAGCACTCAGCCTTTCTTGGGTCAAGCTGCCGTGGCGCCATGTTGTGCTTCTTGTAAAGATCCTGTGCTTTGGAACCCCAAAACATCCAAACATGTCTCTCTTGAACAGACATTTTTGTAGCAAAGGACCTGGGAGTCTTGATGAACACCAAGTTGACTGTGAGCCAAGTGGCTGAGCGCTGGCAGAGGTTGCCCAGGGAGGTTGTGGAGTCACCATCCTTGGAGATATTCAAAAGACAGGTCATGGTCCTGGGCAATCAGCTGTCGGTGGCCCTGGTTGAGCCAGGAATTGGACCAGATGACCTCCCAAGGTCCCTTCCAACCTCAATTATTCTGTGATTTATGCTTTATGCCTGCTAATCATATCCAAAACAAAGAGATTTCTAACACCTCTGTCACTGATAAGTGTGCTACCACCTGCTCCTGGCTTAGGTTTCATATCCATTTCCCTGTGTCAGCTCTCGGCCACACTGTTGGTCCCGCAGCTCCATGTGGGAAGGCGTGATTTCTGAGACTGGCTGTGGAGATTAAGATGAAATCAACATTTGCGTGAGGGTTTGTTAAAGGTTGTACGTGAGGCCTGAATCTGGTCTTCCCCTTCTCGACAGGGGCCTCTCCGTGCCACGTGGCCTCTTGGACTGCAAGAATTCTCTTCTGCAGAACAGGCTTATCTTGTTCTGCTATCGAGGTTTATGTCCTCCAAGAGCTGTAATTTTAGCATTTCTTTTCCTGCTGCCTTTGACAGTACATCAACAGTAACTTCTCTCTCGCTGTTTCTTCGTTCCACCAACTGTGCTGCTATTGTTCTCCGCACGGTCTCTGGAGCATTGGAGGACGTGCTGCGTGTCCCACTAGGACGTGCTTTTTCCCCATGCACTTGGCTTGTTAAGATGCTGTGGCTAAATCCCCCTGGCTTTTAGGCTGGGTTTGCGCTGCCCTGTGCAGCCACCCTTGCCGATAGCCCTTTGTTGTTCTTTGCAGGGGGCACGCTAGCGGAGTTTATTCATAAGCGCTGTAACTCCTTGCTGGATGAAGATACCATCCTGCACTTCTTCGTGCAGATCCTCCTGGCTCTCCACCACGTGCACACCAAGCAGATCCTGCACCGCGACCTGAAGACTCAGAACATCCTCTTGGACAAACATCGCATGATTGTCAAGATCGGAGACTTTGGCATCTCCAAAATCTTGAGCAGCAAGAGTAAAGCCTACACGGTGAGTGGCCTGGCTTTGCAGTGGAACTACTTACCACCACGGCAGCAGGCTGGAGACTCTGGACTTGGCTCACGATAGTCTCTTGGAAGCTGCTGTAGGCAGCGAGGTTGGATGTACCATACTTGCAGCAGACCACATCCGCGTGCCACAATGCTGCTTTGCTCCTTGGAGTTTATCTAGGCTGATGTCTTCACGCCCAAGTTTGCTGCAGCTCTGTGGGCTGCAGAAAGGTGAGAAAGACTTGCCTGCCCAAACCCGGGAGAGGATGGGGTGTCTGGGCCCACTGGTGAGTGTAGACAGGGTTCCTCCCACTGTCACAGTGGGAGGGGTGCTGTTTGCAGGCTCGTCTGACACATACTTGGCAACTGAATTCCTGCCTGTGCCCTGCCGTCCTGCCTTGTCTTAATCTCCTCTCTCTGCTTGAGACTTGAGTATCATTCCCCACCTGGTCTAATCTGACTAGACATTTGTATCACGCTCATTGCTCTGGGCTCTGATTCTCTCAAGTGGATAGGAGCAAAATCAGAGGTAATCTCTGTGTGTGCAAGGGAGGTCACCGGAAAAGCAAATCCTCGTGTTTTTTACTGAGCTTGTCAGGCAGATGTTGACACCAGGGAACAAAAGCCCAGCTCCGCTAAGCTTTGGTTGGTGGTGCTCTAGCCAGCCTGTGCGCTGGGCTCTGAACTGAGCCTTTCTCTTTCCACCTCACTGCCCCAGTTTCCCAGCATCATGGTAAATTTCTTTGTCTCTCCTAGGTTGTGGGAACTCCGTGCTACATCTCCCCAGAGCTCTGTGAAGGGAAGCCCTACAACCAGAAGAGTGATATCTGGGCTTTGGGCTGTGTGCTGTACGAACTTGCCAGCCTCAAGAGGGCTTTCGAAGCTGCGGTAAGAGGGATATGGTTCACATGTAGTGCAGGGAGCTGTGGCCTCTTACGGAGGTGAAAACGTATCCTTGGATCACTCTTCTCCCTGAGCCTGGAGGTGTGAAGGGTGAGGGCAGTGCTGAGAACTTCTTGCTCCTTGCCCTCACCTCTGACTGCCCGGCCACCACTGCATGTCCCTGTCTTGTTTTCTCTCCAGAATCTTCCCGCCTTAGTATTGAAGATCATGAGCGGGACGTTTGCCCCAATATCGGATAGATACAGCCCCGACCTGCGCCAGCTCATCCTTAGCATGCTGAACCTGGATCCTTCCAAGCGGCCCCAGCTGAATGAGATCATGGCCCAGGCCATCTGCATTCGGCCCCTTCTGAACCTCTACACCGATGTGGGCAGTGTCAAAATGAGAAGGCAAGTGATACTGCTAGCTTAGTGTCCCTTGGGAGAGGCTACCCCAGCCCACAGCATGTCTGACCCGCTCACGGTCTCCGTGACGAGCTCCGAAGAGAGCGTTGTCCCTGTGCAGCTCTCCTGCGTTACCCAACGTGCAGCTGCTGCGGGCTGAGCCAGGCCCAGTGGCTCGGGGCCACGGCAGGTGCCATGGCAGGTGTGGGCTTGTCATCGCAGTAACAGTGAATAGAGAGTTGTGAGCTCAGGGGGAAGTGAACTGATGCCAACTCCCCTCTCAAGTGGTTTAAAGCACCTACCGAGGCAATTCTGTGACCTATTCAGCCGTGGCTTATGCTGTAGCTCTGCCCAGACCTTCTGTGATCCAGGGCTCTGCAGGACCTCTGGGGCCAAGCTGACATTAAGGAGACTGGATTTTGGTTTGGCAGGCCTGAAAAACCCTTGGCTCCGGTGCCGACAGTGACCCACAGCCGGACGGGGGGACGAGTGAGCAGTGCCAGGCAGAGGGGTGAGTCCTGGCACAGTGTGTTCAACACAGCTCCATTCGGAAGGACCCTTTCCTTTGGCTGACAGGAGGTCAGAGAGGCACTCGAGCTTCTGGAGAGAGAAAATTAAGAGACTTCACCTTCCCTGAGCCCTGGAGGAGCCCATGGGCACCTCAGCTCTGGGGACCAAGCAGCGCTCTTTCTCCAGCTGCCTCTTCTAGATTTTGAACCCTTGAGTTTCTGCTGCTTCCAGCAAAGGCTGGAAAGCAGTCAGGGTTGCTGAGCGGGGATGTCCTGGTGCAAGGCAATGCAGCTGGCATTGGTAACAGTTAGGCTAGAGCTGCCGTGGTGCCGTTTCCCTCAATTCTGGGATAAAATACAAGAAGCTGTTCCCGTGTGTTTCTCTCAGCCCTGGCTCGGAGCTCCCCAGCAGCCCCTTGCCAGCCTTGGACTGGCACTGGTCTGGCTCTGCTAGCTGGCAGGCAGCTACACTGGCACCCGGACTGGCTGGTGTCATTTCTTTTCCTGTGGGAGGAGAGTCAGGGATCCATGTTAATGATTTCTCTTTGACCCACAGGTGTTCGAGGTGGTTCAGCCAGGACAGGAATCCCTCCTCCACTGTCGTCCATCTACACCTGGGGGAGCGGGATCACCACCCCGCTTCGCCTGCCCATGCTTAACACCGAAGTGGTGCAGGTGTCTGCCGGCAGGACACAGAAGGCCGGGGTCACCAAATCGGGGCGGCTTATCATGTGGGAAGTGAGTGATGGGGAACCTCGGGCAGGCAGGGTCCGTGGAAGCCTCAGATGTGTGATTGCTGAGGAGGAGATGTTTCTGCTCCCTACATAAGCCCTGGCACTGCGTCCTCCAGGACCGCTGTCCAGTCCAGGGTGTGGGTAACACTGCTAAGACTGTGGGAAGGGGCTCATCTGAGTTCTCCAACCCAGCTCTTGCTGTACAGAGGTGCAGCAGCCGACATGGCTTCTCTCTGCCAGGCTCCCCCGATGGGTGCTGCGGGAGGCCCTTCTCTCCCAGGAGCCACCGAGCAGCTCCAGCCTCAGTTTGTGTCCCGCTTTCTGGAGGGCCAGTCTGGCGTGACCATCAAACACGTGTCCTGCGGTGATCTCTTCACAGCCTGCCTCACAGGTGAGTTGCTGCCTTCTGCCTTCATCTGGCTGAGTCCCAGACCCCTCCGCCTGGCAGTTGGCTTGGAAATGCAGCGTGACTGCCTGGGGAACCTGCTCAGAGAGGAACCCGAGAGATGCACTGGGCTGGGGTGACACAAAGGCCTCTGTGGCCTCTCGTGTAACGTCAGGTCAGGGTCAGAAATGGCAGGCATGGTCCTCCTATGATGCCACACCGGTCAACTTGGTCCCAAAGGTCTGTCTGATATGAGGAGGGCCACAAATCTCCTCTTTTTGTTGTCCTGGCTGCTTTGGTGTCCCCTGAAGCCAGAACTGACCTGTATAGTGGGGACTGCCGTGTGAGGAGCGTCTGGGAAGTTCAGCCTTTCTCTGTCACATACTCTGTGAGCATGACGCAGACACAAGCAGTGACCAGCAGTGATGGGTGTTGCGGTGAGAAGTCAGCGTGAGCTCCTGCAGGGCCGGTTGTCCTCAGCCGCAGGAAGGCAGGGTCTGAAACCCGCTTAGAGTGGGCCAGGAGGCGTTCTGGCTGGGAGGGGAGGACGCACGCCAGCCTGAGGCCATGTTTGTGGAGCAAAGTCCTCCCAATGGTCCTTTGGGAGCCCTGTTTGCACTTCTGCTGGAGATCAGGGCAGCAAACGACAGATATGCAACTGGCAGACTTCATAGGCATGGGTTTGTCCTACCCCTCCATGGCGTTTTCTGCCACCCCTCTGCTGGGCAGCTGCTGAGTGAGTGCCTGTGTGTATTTAACACCTCGACAGACTGTGGAGTTAGCAGCTCCTGCGTACACAGCTGCAATAATGTTATCTCAGCACTCTCCTATCATCTGCTGTTTGTTTGGTGAGTTGTTGCAGCACAGTGAGGCTGCCG